AGGGACAGTGGGAATCTCGTTAATCCATTCATGCGCGTCAGTTTTTATATACATCACCTCCGCTTCCCTCCCACAATGGACCGTTCCGGCCCTTAGCATGTCCGGGTTTCTCTCCACGTCAAGTAGTGAAGATCCGATCCTCAAATGACTCAACTGTATTTCTATGACACGCATGGACAGTTGTTGTGGAACTGTCAGGACGAGATTCTAGTCCCTTCCTCTGTGGTGCGCAATGCCACGTATTTCCTTACTAATAGGTTCCTTATAGGCCTATTCCTCTCCATTGGCTAGGTGACACTTCACCAGCCTATTGGTACCTAGTACAGCGGCTCTCGCTAGCTTCTCTAATATGAAGCTAGTTCTGTCCGGTAGTTTTAGGCTTTGGACATATTGTCTAAGGGCTGGAGTGCATTCGCCGCAAGTGCCCAGCACTATGGGAATTACATCCACCCTACTTTTGCGGTCTTTTTGCAGAACTGCCTTGAGGTTCGGCCCAGGTCTAAAGTCGCCTAGGGCCGTATCTTCCGGTAAAGTGCTGTTCACACTATACTTGAAGACTTTCCTCTGTTCTTGGGAAGAGATTCGTGTGAACCATGAGACCGAAATCTCGATGATCCATATGTGTTTCTCTTGCCTGTCCCAGACCAGTATATCAGGTCTGTTGTGTTTCAAGCCTTCGCTTGTATATACGGGATTATTCCAGTGAATCTCGACCCCAGTCCCCACTAATATGTGGGGCTCGTGGGTATTGGATTCCTTAGATTTCAGCCCGTACTTCTTCTTGAGTGAATAATATATCACTCTAGCTACATCATCGTGCCTTTCCACCATGATGTTTGTTCTCCAGTGAGAGCAGCACGACACTATGTGTTCTGCTGTTTCTCTCATTGGGCACCCCATGCGACAGTTAACGGGAGTCTGTTCCGCTCGTCGCGGGGCACTTGCCCTAGTGAGTAGTGAGCCTTCCTGAACGGCCCACACATTCCTGAGGACTTCGGATGAGACCCAGCCTTTGCTCGACCATAGGAACGAATCCTTTGGACAGAGTCGCTGTGGATCTCCCATGCCCTGTAGTACTCTGCTCGCCACTTGCCTCTCCTTCCAGTTTGCTAAGTGGGCATCCGCCCACCGCTCCCGTATAAGAGAGGAAATGGCTCGCGCGGCACCAGTCGCAGTTTGATAACTGCGACCATTCACTTCTATAAACGTTAGTAACGTTCTAGTCACTTTTCCTTCGAGACCGTTGGCTGCGATTACGGCTCGAAAGTCCGTTGTTAGTGACCGTTTATTGCTAGCTCGCAGACTCTCGGCTAGCTGATAGGGGACTATGAAGTCTGGGTTGGAGGCTAGGTAACACCACGTATACACGATTGAGTGATCTAGTTCCTCTTCTGCAGACTTGAGTCCTAATCCACCTATCTCTTTCTTGACATATAGTCTTGCGAAGCAGCTACTAGTGAACCTTATATGGGTATCCACCAGAAGCTTCCTCACACGTATGTCGAATGCCCGTGCTTGCTTCCGAAGCGAGCACAATCGCCCAGCTCCGAATATTACACATGACATGGCATACTTTATTTTGGGAATCACTGTCTGATTGTATCCCGCAACCTTCTGACTGACTGTCAGTTCGCTGCTCATGATACGTACAGCGGTTTCCCAAGCATTCTTCTGGACTCTGGGCCACACTTGTCTCATCGAAACGAGTGCACCCTGCTCCATGCCCAGATATTTATAGAAGGAGTTAGACCCTAGTATAGGGATATCTCCCATTCCAGTCTGCTCCCCTGCAGTGGTGTTGAGTGTTTTCACCGCGCATTTGCTCGGGTTCATCTTCAGCCCCAACTGCTCTGCTACTCGTTGGATTCCAACTTTGGCCTTGACCAAGTCTTCCCAACTCGTAGTGTAGACCTTGAGGTCGTCCATATAGAATATATGGTTCATCTCAAGCCTACCTTCTGATCTGGCTCCACCACCAGTGCGGGTTCGGTATGGCTCAATATTCGAGCGTAACCAGCCAGATATGGGCGCTATGGCAAGACAGAAAAGCAGCGGACTCAGAGTGTCGCCCTGCATGAGTCCATTTCTCACGTCTAGCGGGGCACTCTTCACTGCCTTCCCGTTTTGAAAGCCACAGTACCTGACGCTTTGTTTGGACATTATCTTATTTAACAGCAATCGGATGGCCAACGGCACATCCCATTGCTTTAAGGTCCAACGCACAGCGTCGTGTGATACAGAGTCAAATGCCTTGGTCATATCCACCCAAAGCATATGCAACTCCGCTCGATGCTTCATAGCATCTCTGCATACTGTTTGGTCCAGTATGTGCGCATGCGTGCATCCCCATACTCCACGTCTTAGGGCGACCTGCTCCGAAGGGAACCGTTCGCCCACACACGCTGAGATACGGTTAGCAATCATGGCTGTGAGAACCTTGTAGCATGTATTCAGACATGCTATAGGCCGGAAATCTCCGGGTCCAGAGGCCCCTGATTTTCCTTTCGGGATCAGTACTACTCTACCTCTGCAGAGCCACCTTGGGATCCCTTCCCTACGCCTGTGCAGTGCTCTGAGGCACCACTCTTTAAGGCGTTCCTTGGCTGCTGGCAGGTACTTCCACCAGAAGCCTTGGATTCCATCCGGACCCGTAGCCTTCCAGGGTTTGACTTTGGAAAACAACGTTTTCCAGTCTTCCTGCGAAAGGTCTACGTCCGTATGGATGTTTCGCGTTTGCCTGTGGGTCTGCGACCACGTCGCTAGCTCCACTGTTTCAGTGAACGGTTGGGCCTCGCCTACAATTGGCTTCCAGTACTCGCGTACTAGGTCCACCGGCACATTACCCCCTTGCAGACGGGGCTCTCGTGCGACACAAGGGGGGCCCCTGCGTCTCACCAGGAAGCGCTTCTTGGCGTCTTCCATTTTCTTGATGTCCATCTGAACTATGTTCAATTCGTCCCTGAATTTAATCAGGAGCCTTTGAACTTCGGAAGTTCTGGACACCTTGTACAGCCTGGCAACTTCGAGGTATTTAGGGCTTGGTCTGCCTCGCCCACCTCGCCCGTTGCCACCAGTACTTCTCCTAAGGAGTTCTGCAGCCAATACGGATATGAAGCTAATCAGAGTACTCCTTAGCTGAGTAGCTTCTCGGAAGCTCTCTTTAACAGGCTTCAGCCTTTCGCTGGCTTCTTCTGCAGCTTTGGCACAAATAGCTCTAGCTATTGCGTACACTGCTGCATTCAAAGATGTCAGCTTTTTCGAACCTGTTCGCTGAAATTCTTCAACGAGAATTTCATTTCCAACCTGTAGGAAGGGACCGGGGATTTCTCCTCTGGGCCTCACTATGGGTTGTCTATCTTGCGTTGAGATAGCTATACGGTAATACTTACGAAACCTCGCAGATAAATCCGCCTTGAGGTCGCTATTGCCATTCCCGCTCTCTTCGCGGGCTTCTTGAGGTGCCTCCTGGCTAGCTTCGGGCTCAGGCCCGTTCCTTGCTCTTGAGGCATCTCGTAGGTCATCTTGCCCATCCTGTTCGGTAGGCTGTGACCCTTCTTCCGAAGCGACTGCTTGCGCCTGATTGGCGCGTGCAGCGTTTGCACCAACAGCTTGACCAGAACATCTGGCAAGTTTGGCGTAGGCCCCTTTCAAGGCGTACACTGACCTTGAGGGCTCATTATTGCCGCGTAGACGTTCCCAGGCCGGAGCCAGGTCTCGCCATCTAATGCGACCGCCCGCGTCCCTATGTCTTCCGACAAGTTCGGCAAGCTTATTCAACTCGTGGGTTGTCCACAAGTAGCCCTTGCGTGAGGTCGCTTCGCTTTGAGCGTTTGGCTCGTTTGGCTCCGCTACCACATTGGCAAGGTTTTGTTGCCCTGAAGAGGGCAGTTGGGAAGTCCTTCCCCGGACGGGGTCCAGAGGAGGACTATTATGAGTTTGCCCTGAAGAGGGCAGTTGGGAGGTCCTTGCCCTCGGCGAGCCTGAGGGTGGACTCCTGGAATGGGTCCCACCTCTATGGGTGGGTTTGGCCATTCTGCGCTCAACTAGCATTCCGTGCGCTGATCGTATTTAGCCGTGCAGAGCAACGTTGCCCGGGAACACCACGTGGAGGTATACGATCGAGTTCCCTTATCTGTTACACAGATGGACCGTCCTCTGTAGAGGAAACGGGGTGGTGAGTCATTTCACCCCTTTTCGATCCTTCCTATCATCTTGGGGAACGGGCTTGCCACAACCTCCATGAGCTACCATTGGCAGTACTCATGCAACCCGGTTGTCCCACAGGGATTCATCCTTCTAAGGAGAAGTCCCTCTAAGGGCAGCATTTGCCATCGTCTTTCCGATCGCGGGCTCTAATCCCACTCTCAGCTGATGTGTCCTTGGACACACCTCACATTGCTATGGTGTTGCTCCGCAACTGGTATCCCTGTACCACCTAGTATAGATGCATCCGCAGACCGCAGATCACCATAGTCAAACAAGCCAACCATGGAGTGTACCCTTGGGTACCTAAGCTACGTTGCAGAACGGAGCCATGCTCGGCAACTACACAAGGTTTACCACTTTCTTCCTTACGGAATTGGCATATTTCCCACAAGTTTCCCTGTGTCCCTCTTTATGTGAGTCGCTTCGTTGCGTCCACAGTGAACAAGCCACTGAGGACAGTCACCATTGGCCCTAGACGTCAAGGTCGGTATGGGACTTACGGCAACTTTGAGCTACTCCCATATCGGAGGGTTACCAATTGCTCCATTCCAGAGCTTATTCTCAACCAAGAGCAACAGCATCTTGCTGCAATATGCCTCCCTTCCTCAGAAGGGATGGAACTCACTCGAAACTCTATTCCATCAACGGAACAGCGCATTGCTGTCCTTTCTTCTCTATGCTCTTTCCAGAGCTTTCCTCTATTTCGAGCAGCAGCATTTAGCCGCAGTATACATTCCTCATTCAAACGAGGGAAGCAATACTCCATTCCAGAGTTCTACTCATAGAGTTATCAACTATGTCGTCTGTTAACACAGCGGCTTGTTGTTTTGGGCCTCCGCCCTCATTCTACTCTATGGATCTCCAGCTCCACCATTTCTCTAGGTGTCTGAGATCTTGAGCTTCCCTGGACTTTCCAAGCCCAAAGACTCTATGTTACCAACGCTTGGAGACTCCTTATCTCATTATGCCTATTGCAGGCTTCACCAACGCTTGGAAAATCTCTAAGTCCGGGAATATTTCGTTGCTTAAAACACGTTTCGCTACATTGAGCAAAAATGAACGACCATATAGGATCAACCTCAACAGGTCGAAGCCTATAAGGCCTCTTTAGACGAGCCATTCATAATGAAGCATCAGCATGTATACAACATGCCTAAGCTTCATATGGATGACCCGCCATACATGGAGCATACACCATGAGCTCGAGCTTACGCCCACACGGCTCATGGCAGGCATGCTATATCCATGTATTTCTCCAAGTGAAATGTAGCATACACCATGAGCTCGAGCGTACGCCCTCGCCCATGGCAGGCATGCTTAACAATTTACGTGAAGCATGGACCATGCAACGAGTGTATGTAAACGCTCGCCATGGCCATGCATTATTCTCACAAAGAAGCAAACTCACGTGTTTCCACGTAGAGTCGTTATATAACATTCGCAACTGTCAACAGTAAGGCATCAAACCTTTCTGAGTTATACAGGCCGAGGCCTGAAGTAAGGCGGTCCCCGTCCGCTCATTACCCTATTGCCAAAACCATTAATAGTACTGACCAATGGTCTAATAAATGAATAGTTATCATTTGTTCAGGATTAACTGAAGTATAAGGGGAGTGAACCCCGTTTTCAGGTCAATCACCAGATCCAACATCTCATTTATTACGAACATCGTTTACAGAACCATCACAAGGAACACCATCACTCTTTCTCTTCTTTCTGGGCACATCGGCCCCACTACCATCTGCATTCTTCGGAGAAGGAGGCTGCTTATCCTTCTTCTTCTTTTTCTCTTCGTTCCTTGATTCTAGTTCCGCCTTCTCACGTTTGAGGCGGGAGTTTTCTTCTCTGAGCTTTTTAAGCTCATCATCCATCTTAGAAGCCGCATCGTCGACAAGCTTAATGATGCGCTTCCTATTGACCGAAAACTTGGGTCCACTGCAATCAAGGGTGATAATGAGCAGTGTTATTTAAGATAGGAAACTAACTTACCGTGGACGAATGCAGTTCATAAATGACACAATGTCCACAAAGACGTACTTGTCTTCTTTGTTTTTGCTGGAATTACCAGACATCGCAAATCTGTAAAAGAGACGATTAGTTATCTCATGCCGCTAGGGCATAATTCTACTTATATGGCCAAACATCGCTACAAAATGTTAGGCCATTGGTCAGTTTTGCCACCCGCTTTCGGGTTTCCCCCCAATAAGTATAATAATGGGGTAATGAGCGGGTGGAGACAGCATTACTCGCTGCCTTTGCCGCATAACGGTGTCCAGGCCGAAAAAGCCTTATACCTCCCTAGTCGGGAAGATTATCTCCATACAGAGTTATACCCATGCCTGAGCTTCAGTCTCGACTGAAGTATACTAATTAGAAATCAGCATCAGGGGTTACCCCCCGAAATTCGGCGGCGCTTAGCGTTACCCAGGGACACCACGTGGAGGTGGCCGCCATCGTCCCCATGCGCGTCAGTAGTTAGCTGACGAGGCATTTGGCTACCTTAAG